AGATAGATAGATAGATAGATAGATAGATAGATAGATAGATAGATAGAGATAGACACACACACACACACACATATATACACACACATATAACACACACACATACACACACATATAAATATATATACACATATACATATACATACTGTATATACATACATACACACATACATACATACATACATACGACAGATAGAGATAGATGATAGACAGGTAGAGATAGATAGATATAGATAGACACACACACACATATACACACATATAACACACACACACATAAATATATAGACACATATACATATACATACTGTATATACATACATACATGCATACATGCATGCATGCATGTATACTTACATACATACATACATACATACATACATACATACGACAGAGTAGTATTTTTGGGGAAACACCATATTTAGCTTGACTCAATGGGCAATTGGTGGGCCAAGATAGCAGAAATGACATTTCAAAATTCACCATTTCAAGGGGGGCCTTGAGGGTCCCTCCACTCTTCTTGAAAATCTATTTTGCAGCCTCTGGAGCTTCCCGATTCTCTCATAATCACAATATTTACCACTGCTGTAATGGAATTCAAATCTTCGAGTGTGAAGACTTAATAATAAACCTCAATGACTAGGGGATGCTTCTTCAACATTATTTCCACCTAATTTATAATCAAGATGTTCAATTAATAATTTTCGGTGCTTTACACAGTGTTAAGTCAGCTGAAAAGGACTGGAGTCTGCTCTCCCTTCATCATTACAGACGATTCATTCTTCTTCTTCTTTTCCATAATGCTGAGGGTTGCATAATAATTTGGCCAAACTTGTTGGCAAAAAACTCTTCGAAGTCATCCGAGTGATGGGAGGTGATGTGACACTTTACATATGGCTCGATCTACATTAAAAAGTGTCAGATTCTTTGCAGGGTGGTAGAAGTTAAGCTTGGGTGAAAGATTACAGGTAATCATTGGCTTACAACCGTTCACTTAGTGTCAGACTCAGAGGTGGTATTCAGCAGGTTCTGACCAGTTCTGGAGAACAGGTAGCAGAAATTTCGAGTAGTTCAGAATACCACCTCTGACTGATCCTACTCCCATCTATTCTCTGCCTCCCGAGTCCCAGCTGATCGCCTGGGTCTTCTTTTGTTGCCCTGCACAGGAGAACAGAGCTGGAAAGCAGGTTTGTGGGGAATCAAATTTTACAGTAATCTTCCCCCAGGAGTGGGGGAGGAATGGAGATTTTGAAGTGTCCTCCCCCTGCCATGCCCACCAAGCCATGTCCACAGAACAGGTAGTAAACATTTTTTGAATCCCACCACTGGTCAGACCTATATGTACAGGGTTCAAGCTAACTATGGGCGAATAGGTGGCAATATTAAATAAATAAATAAATAAATAAATAAATAAATAAATAAATAAATAA